GTGCCAAGAGGTGGGAGACCTGCATTTACTTCCAACTGGAACTAATCATCTCTGTCACTTGGAGTAAGTCACTCACCTCTCTGCATGTATCTCCCCATTTGGAAAATGGGAACAATACACTCTCCAACATGCTTCTCAAGGTTTTAGAAAATCTAAAGTTCTATAGATAATATTAATAGAATAAATATAACTAATGGGGGGGTGTAAACTGAGTACCCCCAGGGAAGCATTTGTTTGAACTCTGTGAGTTCAGGTTTTGACATTTCTGCTCTGTATGATGAAAACAAACAATAACAATACTAATGCTTATATCCCATGGAGCAGGCATCTTATTACTCCCTTCTCTGAGACCTACACGAGACCTATCATTTATCTTTGGGCTCTGTTTAGATTCCTGATTATTGAGGCATAAAGGGTTTATTTAATTACCATTGGAAGAGTTTCCGACGAGGCCATCTCAATGGTGTTAATTCCACTTGGATCAGCTCTGACTATCCCCCTCCTGTACATTAGGCCTGAGATAGCTTTTGCCCCTTTGCTGACATTTGACGCTTGTTGAAGTAACTGATGATCACAGCAATGGTTGAGCGCTGAATGTCCCTAGGCTGGTCGTATTTCATAGCTGGTCTCAATTCAGACAGAAACTGGCACCTTTCCAAAAACCAGTTCAGTTTGGCTCTTTGCTGGAAAGATAAAGAACGTCAGAAAAGCATTGAACTATGAGAGGGAACTCTTACAGTTATCAAGATTATTATTATTATGAAGATCCTGTTAGAGGTGCTCTGTCATCTTTGTATGGGGCAGTGGTTCCTGGTGCTGGTCTGTGACTTGGTGCTGGGCTGGCTGGTGACTGCATAAGAGCTATCTGAGGAGATTATAAAATGTGGGTTGGGTGGCTATATTAGTCTGTTTCTGTTGCTTATAATAAAATATCTGGAACTGGGTAATTTGTAAGAAAACAAAATTTATTGCTTACAGTTTCAGAGGCTGGGAAGTCCAAAGTCAAGGGAACAAATCTGGTGAGGGTCTTCTTTTGTGGGGGCTTTGCAGTAACATAGGGGTCTCACATGACATAAAATGGCAGAACAGAGAGACAGCTCCTCTTGTGCACTCCCTTTAAAGCCCTCAGAACCACGTCCATGACCACCAATAAACCACCTATGGCAGGTCCTCACAATCTAATCACCTCTTCAAGGCCCCATCTTTCAATTACCGTAATAGGATTTCCCACCCTCAACAGTTACAGTGGGGGAGGGTCAGTTACAAGCATTTGTTTGAACTCTGTGAGTTCAGGTTTTGACATTTCTGCTCTGTATGATGAAAACAAACAATAACAATACTAATGCTTATATCCCATGGAGCAGGCATCTTATTACTCCCTTCTCTGAGACCTACACGAGACCTATCATTTATCTTTGGGCTCTGTTTAGATTCCTGATTATTGAGGCATAAAGGGTTTATTTAATTACCATTGGAAGAGTTTCCGACGAGGCCATCTCAATGGTGTTAATTCCACTTGGATCAGCTCTGACTATCCCCCTCCTGTACATTAGGCCTGAGATAGCTTTTGCCCCTTTGCTGACATTTGACGCTTGTTGAAGTAACTGATGATCACAGCAATGGTTGAGCGCTGAATGTCCCTAGGCTGGTCGTATTTCATAGCTGGTCTCAATTCAGACAGAAACTGGCACCTTTCCAAAAACCAGTTCAGTTTGGCTCTTTGCTGGAAAGATAAAGAACGTCAGAAAAGCATTGAACTATGAGAGGGAACTCTTACAGTTATCAAGATTATTATTATTATGAAGATCCTGTTAGAGGTGCTCTGTCATCTTTGTATGGGGCAGTGGTTCCTGGTGCTGGTCTGTAACTTGGTGCTGGGCTGGCTGGTGACTGCATAAGAGCTATCTGTGGAGCTTAGAAAATATGGGTTGGGTGGCTATATTAGTCTGTTTCTGTTGCTTATAATAAAATATCTGGAACTGGGTAATTTGTAAGAAAACAAAATTTATTGCTTACAGTTTCAGAGGCTGGGAAGTCCAAAGTCAAGGGAACAAATCTGGTGAGGGTCTTCTTTTGTGGGGGCTTTGCAGTAACATAGGGGTCTCACATGACATAAAATGGCAGAACAGAGAGACAGCTCCTCTTGTGCTCTCCCTTTAAAGCCCTCAGAACCACGTCCATGACCACCAATAAACCACCTATGGCAGGTCCTCACAATCTAATCACCTCTTCAAGGCCCCATCTTTCAATTACCGTAATAGGATTTCCCACCCTCAACAGTTACAGTGGGGGAGGGTCAGTTACATTTTGGGGGGGCATTCAATTCAAGGCAGTGGCCTAGAACAGGGACTGGGAATATATATTTTTGTAATGAAGACTAGTTTGGGAGCACAGGCCTATGACTGCCTCATATAATTTTGTAGTACTGTTAAAACAGTAGATTACACAGCCTTGTTTTTTTTTTCTTAAAACTCCAATTTTCTGGCCACTTCACATAACTTTCTGACTCAGCTGTCTTTCCATAGCACTGATATAATACAAACTCCTGTGTCCCACCCTTCATCCATTTGTTTGACCACTATATATCAGCTGTATAGGATAAGCACTGGAACTAAGGTGAAAAGATCAAAAGACACATGGTTCCAAGACTAAAGGAGTCTTTGGTCTAGTCAGGAGATAATTGAACAATAAATCAGCTATTGTAGGACATTATAATTGTTCAAACTGTAAATCGCAGTGGTAGCTGATGAAATGTGCTCGAAAGTCAGCAGTTTGGGGAGAAACCATTTGACTGGAGGCTTGTCAAAGGAGATAATAGTTGCTAGATGCCAGGTAAACAAAAGTCATTTTGCAAAGCCTTGGTGGCCAGAGGGCCTGATAGGTGATGAGAACTACATGTTTTGTAGTTTTACCATTGTATAGACTGCGAGGCAATACATGATAGAAATGTGGGTGGATGTATTAACAGAAACCAGATCATGAGTGGCTTATAGATCATGTGGTGGGAGTTTCTATCTGACCTCATTAGCACATCTCCCTTGCCATATATGTAAGTTTTTTCTAAACTCCTCATTGATCTGTATCTTTTTAAAATCCTCTCCCTTGACAATAGGACATGATGAAATTTCTTATTCTTACGTAATACCTTGGAAGCAGGAGAAGCTAAGTGTACATTTCTATATCCCACATGGGGCCCTACCTTCAACTCATTTTCTGGCCGTGTTCACACTCTTTCACTTCTGAAGCCAGAAGTTGGGCTGTTTTGCAGGGCTTCTAGAACCTATATCCTCTTTGAAAACTAGTGTTCTCAAACAGGGGCCAAGAATCAGCATCAAAGGAATGATCATGGTTAGCCCTGAATATGAAGTCTTCTTGCCCTTGACCCCTTAAGGGATCAGTGCCTCTAAATCCCCATAGTCAAATAGCCATAGAGAACATTTGCCCCGAACAGTGCAATCCAGAAGTACCTTCTCAACTCAGACCTTCACTCCTCTGCTTACAATCTTTCCATGTGTCTCTGTGTATTTTTATTCAAACCCATACTCTTCCCGATCCCAGCATGATTAGCCTGCCTACTTCCCCAACCTCATTTCATGCTACTTTCCTCCTTGGACCCTAAGCTCCCTCCACATTGATTTTTTTTCAGGTTTTCAAAGAAACAAAACTTATTCCTACCTGAGGGCTTCTGCACATGCTATTCCTTCAGCTTGCCAGGAGTTCTTTTCCCCTTACCCCATCTAAGGTTTTCTTCCTTGAAAAGGCCTTTTCCAGCCTCTGTTTAAACAAGCCTCTCTCCCCTATATTCTGTGACATTTAATGGCACTTTTACATTGTTTTGTTTGGTTGACTTTCTTTCTTTATTGCCAGACAATAAAGAATTTCCATAGAAGCAATGACATGGTATGACTCATTCACAACTGTACCCTCCCCACCTATTTAGTAACACATATTAAATAATTATTTGCTGAATTAGTGGATGGTTGATGGATGGATGGATGGATGAATGAATGAATGGAGTAGAAGTCTCTAAGTTGAATTCTTCACCAAATCCAGCCTACCAGTCTTTTATTCATGCTGTATCTTCGCCCAACCAGGCTCCTGGGAATTCTTTCTCCCCCATGAACCCAAAAGGCTGCATTGATCCCCATACTCCAGTCTAAACTCCATTCATTTAATTAAAGTTGTGATCTTTAGAGCTGACACCAATTTGTCCCTCTCCTGACTGATATATAAAATATATGTTTATTTTGTTAATAACCTTGGAGTATATTTTCATTGTTTCCACTTAGATCGTTTATCCAAATTTCATCTAAGTTAAAATTTTTAAAAAGATTGTATTTTTCTCATAATTAAAACAATTAAAAAGTACATTCAGAAATGTGAGAAACTGAATGTTGTGAAGCAAAGGTAAATTCTGCAGAATTTCTTCATTCTGAGTTAAACACTATCAGTATTTTGTCTTTTTTTATCTAGTGGTTTTCTTATACATTTTATGACTTTGTATGCATGTGTGCACACAAGTATGAATATCCTGAATTTTAAACATAACATGACTGAGCATGTCCCCATGTCATCATAAATACATTTAAAAGCCTGTTTTATCGTATGCCTGATACTAAGTTCTATTTTTGAGAATCACCGACTGTCAACAGAATACCCGACAGTGTGCTAGGCACTCAGGCATATGTTATCCCACTTTAAATACTTAGTGCTTACTGAACCAGTAAAGATAATATAAAGAATGTCCCGCTTACTTGAGTAGCTGTGTTTCCAAGTGGCTATGATAGACTGCAGAAGCAAGAGGTGAGACTCTGGAATAATTTGAATTAGGAGCAAATACACTCAGTCCAAATGTTGAGTGCATGGAACACACGGATGTCTTTAGTAAATGTGTTTCTATTAGACCTCTAGAATGATGAATTTGGAAAACCTTGACAGACCACTCTTCTCTGAAATCCTAGCTATGAGAGTGACTTATGTTTTTCTTCTTTTGTAGAGTGACCGTCTCCTTATCAAGGGAGGCAGAATCGTCAACGATGATCAATCTTTTTATGCTGATATTTACATGGAAGATGGCTTAATAAAGTACGTATATAGAATCCTTCTCTTTATCTTTTTGTGCTTCCTCTCTTCTTTAATGGCCTAGAAAGTAGCTTGGATTATATAAATTAAATGAAAAATATAAATTCAATCAACAGAATGATGCTGTGGGCCTCTTTGTGCAAGCTGTACTGATGGCGCTCTGTGGGTCATGGAAAAGTGGTGATGTGACCACTGTCCTTCAGGATACTGAAAAATGTGCACAAATCACAGCACCCTAAAAATATAAGGCCTTGCGTAGTAGGTACCAAAGGAGTTGAAATCAGGATAAGTGATTAGAAGTACACAGAAAGGAGAAGTCCATTTAGAGGTAAGGTTTTGGGGTGGAGAGGATATTTAAACAGGACCTTGACAAAAAAGAGTAGGACTTAGATGGGCAGAACACAGACAGGATATGCATTTCTGGCAAAATTTCTTAACAGACTCATTGAAGATATTAATTACTTTCCAAAATGGTTTGCTATTAGATGCCTGTAAGCAGCAGAGTCAGGTAACTTTAATGTGTGGGTTCCTTACATAGTGAACTTTAAAAGAAGATTTGATTTACACACACTCTTTGATCATGTAAAGCAAGGTGCACCAACACACTAAAAAGATGTGTTAGACTGGTGTATCCACCCCACCCTATTAGCCACCTCTGGCCTCATTTAGTTTTATTTTTATATTATTCAACTTCATTGGCTAGTTTAAGGTTCTGGTTATGGGAGATCTCCTACTTACCTTTAAAAACTTGGTTCAGATACAATTTTCTGTAGGTAGACATTGTTTACCAGGCCCCAAGTCTAGGCTAGCTTTTCCTTCTAAGTTCTCAAAACACTCTGTGCTTTTATCAGTTATAGCAATTCTGACACTGGTAGGTCCCCTTGAGAGCAAGGACCATATTTTGTTCATCTCAATATCCTCAACTCTTAACCCAGCACTTAGCACATAGAGATCTGATAAGAGGTACCTTTTATTGAGCATGTAGTATGTGCCGGGTACCATGTTAAATGTTTTACAGGTTTTTCTCATTCAATCTGCCAGCACCCCTATGAATTTATTACCTGCTTTTCTCAGATGAGGAGACAGAGGCCAAGAGAGAGTAAATAATCTGCTAAAGGTCAACATATTAGTCAAATGCATTGAATGAATGAGTGAATGAATGAACAAATGCAGGGGTGAATATATTTGTTCATAGTTGCCTGGCCAATTTACATCATTACTTTTTCATGTTAGAAGTAGGAGAAATGAAAATAATAGGCAAACCAAACAATATAAAACAGTAATTTCTTCAAAATATGTCACATTGATTTTATATTTTTCTATTACTACAAAAATTATTATATATAGTTGGCTCTATTTGCTGGTACAGGTTTCCTCACTTAGTGATTTGCAGAGATGGAAAAAATTTAGTACGTAAATGCTTCTTCCTCATTTCAGTGTCATGACAGGCGTCACTAATCGATCACAGACCTATTTGCAGTTGAGCCTTAAATACAGGTTCAGAATCCATCTTCACCCAGTGCTTCCAGCATCCACTACCAGAGCTGAATACATAATATGAGTCCTTTTACTACCTCTGCTAGAAAGACTGGAAGGCCACTTGCCAAGGGTGTTATAGAAGGAATTTAACTATCGATGAGTGTGTCGGTGGCAGAGAGAAGGTTAGATAAATGTGATCTTCATCTAATCTTGAAGTTTTGTGTATCTCCAACAGCAATTTTAACTCACAGAACATAAGAACAGAAATAATTCTCTCCAGTTGTTACATAGTTGTTTGTCTATGAATGTTCATGGAGTACTTGCTATGCGTGCCGGACAGTTGTCTAAGGCACTGGACACGTGATATGTCACATACTACAATAGATATCACTGGGGCTCAAATCATCATGTTTTCTGCCCCCAAGGACCTAACAGTTTTATAGGGCAACTGAGATATCTGTACATATGCAAAGGACCTGACATTACCTGGTAGTAGCAATGTCCAGTATTAAATTAGTAGAATAGATGAGATTCAGAAGAGGGAGAGGGCTGCTTGTTAATTATAATAGGTGATATTTATTGAATTCTTATGTCTAACAGTGTGCTGTGGGCTTAACACATATTAACATTTAATCTACACAACAACCCTGTGGAGGAGGCAATGTTATTACATTTACCGGTGAAAGAATTGAGGCATGGTAACGTTGAGTAATTTGGCCATGGTCATACAGCCAGTAACTGGCAGAGCCATGACTGTGAATCCAGATAGCCTGTATCCAGAGCACAGCCACACTCTTAATTAGTAGGCTTGGCTGTCAATAGAAACTTGACTGAGGACGGGAGATAGAAGCTGAACCTTCAAGGATTAATGTGACCTTGATTGGTGTGGTGGAGAAAAAGGGAGAAGGCATTTGTATTTCAGACTTGGTGTTGTGCTAGTTGTCCAAGTGGGTGAAAACGCATACATAAACACATACCCAGGCAGGCAGTTCTTCATGCCTTGGTTCCCAATTTCCCTCAGAGGAAAGTTTCAGACTTGGTGTTGTGCTAGTTGTCCAAGTGGGTGAAAACGCATACATAAACACATACCAGGCAGGCAGTTCTTCATGCCTTGGTTCCCAATTTCCCTCAGAGGAAAACCAGCAAGAGAGAAAAATGGGAACACAATTGGCCAGTATCTGGACTGGAATGGAGTTATGATCACAGGCTGCATTTTTTCCACAGTGTGTTTTGAATTGTGGTGTCTCTGGAATGGCCCAGTGCTGATGTGGTAAAGTTGAACTCTTAGAGATGTCAGGAGTACTTTATTTTAGTTGTAGAACTTAGGGTTTGGCAGGCCAGTGGTGGACTTCTTACTGCCCCAAAAGAGTATCTTTCTTGGCTGCCTGTGAACAAAAGAGAAAATTATTCATGCCACTGGCAGTGGGGTACATATATCCTCAGAGTAGAAGGTGTTTAATGATATTATAGAGGCTTCTGAATCACAGGTCTACCTGAAATCCATAGTGGACAGATTTGACCAGCCGTTTAAATTAAGAATGTGAAATCACATAAAAACCAAGCCACATGGATGATCTGTAAGTGACATTATGCAGGGAGTAGTTTTACTTGCCACCTTTTTCATGAGATGTGCCTTTGAGATACTCATTGGCTTGTTCCCCTGCTGAGTCTGTCCACATTCCTCCTTGGGATGCTCTGAAGCTTCCCGGGTGAAGCTGTGTCTGGTGGAGGTTGTCATAATCACCTTCGCTTGAAGCTTCTCCTGAGAGCTGAGCACACAAAAGCAGCTGGTGGTGGAGGCATCTGCAGCTTTGACTTCTTCCTTTGAATCTACCATCAGCTGTGATTGATGGACAAATTATCAGCAAAGGGTGGAACTGGGAGCCAAGACCGAGGCCCAGAGTCCTTTTGTTAGGAGCACAGATAAACCTGCTTAGAAGATAGCTAAGTTCCCACACCTGTTCTTTATTTTTTAAATTTTTTTTAATTTAAAAATTTTATTTATTATTAGCATATCCATTCTTACAAATCATGATATTTCTTTCTTTTTTTTTTTTTTTTTTTTTGTCTTTTTCGTGACTGGTAAGGGGATCGCAACCCCTGGTGTAGTGTCGCCCACACCACGCTCAGCCAGCGAGCGCACGCACAAGCCAGTCCTATATAGGATCCGAACCCGCGGCGGGAGCGTCGCTACACTCCCAGCGCCGCACTCTCCCGAGTGCGCCACGGGCTCGGCCCACAAATCATGATATTTCTTTATGCCCTTTGCCCGACCTATCACTTCCCAAACCCCCACCCCCCCTCCACCCCATCTCTAGTATCCTTAGGTTTGTTCTCTCTTTCTGAAAGTTCAACATATTGTCGTCTCTTTCCTTCCTTCCTTCCTTCCTTCCTTCCTTCCTTCCTTCCTTCCTTCCTTCCTTCCTTCCTTCCTTCCTTC